GCTATAGAAAAGTACTAATATCGTACTTCAAATTTTATAGAGTACTCCCTATACATAAAGTTATCAGTTTTCTATATATTTTTATTTTTCCATCAAAGTATTAATTTGGTAGATATTTTAACGTTTACCAATAATTATTGTGAGTTGACCATGATTGATTTGTCAGAAACTGACAGTTTGACATTATTGTTTATTAATTCAGTATTGGGGTACATCGTAAATTAGCAACAATTATTATTTAGCAATTCAGTAATTTATTCAATTTAAATTAGCAATAATGAATTTTACTACTGATGAAATGATAAATAAATATGATCTGGACATTGGGGGAATGCAATTAAGAGTCATTACTACAGATAGAATTTATCATGAACGGTTTCCAGATAGGCGGCAACCTAAACAAGATACATTTGAAAAATTGAAAGATCGATTTAACCGCACTGGTTCAGTGAATTATGAAAAACATGAACGAACAAAAACTAGTGTGACAGAGGAAAACGAAATGAGTGTGTTCATGGCAGTTACAGAAAACCCACTCACAAGTATAAGGATTATTTCCAATAAACAAGAACTTAGTTACTACTCTGTTCAAAACATTCTATCTAAAAACAAGATGCACCCATATCATATTCAAAAGCACCAAGAAGTAAATAATGATGATTTTCAGAAACGAATAGTATTTTGTGAATGGGCCTTAAAAAAATTAATGAACAGAGATTTGTTTTGATTATATCATATTTGGTGATGAAGCTGCATTCCATTAAAATGGTTCTGTTAATAGGCATAAATATCTTTCACTGCTATTCAACAAGTAATCCATACCAAATAGTAACACATAGTCAAACAAGATAATCTTTAAATGTGTGGGGAGGTATCGTGGGTAACCATGTAGTAGGACCATATTTGTTTAAATATAATGTAAATGGTGAAATTTATTTAGATTTTATCGTACATCAGTTACCGATATTATTAGAAGAGGTTCCACTTAATATACGTCAACATATGTGGTTTCTACATGGCGGTGCTTCTGCGTACCAGAACGAATTAGTACGTGGTGAACTTAATGATCAGTTTGGTGAAAGATGGATCGTAAGGGGTGGCCCCAAGGTCACCAGAATTCAATAAAGTGGACTCATTTTTTTAGGGTTAGATTAAGAACGAAGTATATAAAATACCTTCAACAACAATGGATATGAAAAATAGAATCCGAATTGCATTTTAAAATATTTCTTTACAAATGCGCAGTAATGTAAGTAACTCTTTCAATAACCGCTTTTAAGTATGCATAGATGTTTTGAGAGGTCATTTTGAACACCTTACTTAAGTATGATTAGTTAAAATTACAGTTGTTTTTTATTTTTCTATGAGTTCTTATTTTTTTTATTTTCTGTCGGTTATTTTTTATAAATTTTATTTGAAACAAATTGTTTTCTTTTCTGTGTGGTTCTTTCGTTACTGAATTAAAAAACAATAATGTCAAACTGTCAGTTTATGACAAGTCAATTATGGCCAACTCCCAATAATTATTGGTAAAAGTTAAATAATCTACCAAATTAATATTTATCTAAAAAATTGATAACTTTAGGAATAGTGAGTATTCCATAAAATGTGAAGTACGATATTAGTATTTTCGATAGTGACTTAAAAGACAGGGTGTCCTATTTAAAATTATCAAGAAAATAATGTACTTACATTTTAACCCTGTATTTGATTTAACGAATATTATGAAAACCAATATGTTTTATAATTTTTAATAATTATTAAAAAACTATGGTTGCAATAGATCAATGGTCCTATACTCCTTTTTAATGATACAGGGAGTTAAACTTGATACGATTTTCAGGTAATATTGGTTATAACTTTTTAAATGCCCGGTATAACATAATAAAACTTTACATTATTGTGAGGTGAAAGTGAAGGAGATTTCAAATTTAAAATAAAATACGGGGTATTTCATTTAAAAAAACATAAGTTTGGTATGCCACCATCTTATAGAACACCCTGTAAGATTGTAACTAATTTTAAAATGTTTAAAGCTGTCTACAATTTTCGTCAATAACTTTTTTTGTAATTTTTACTATAACAGATCTACTGAGCTTCCTCACACTAATCAATCAGCCAAAAGAGTTATCAGAAAAATTTTTTACGAAGTAACCAAAAACAAAATTTGATTAATTTATTAATGTTCTGTATTCTGAGAGAGATTTCCGAAGTAGAAATCGAAACATCAAAAATAAACTTATTATAAACTTAAATTGTGCTTATTCCCCAAAATATAGGAAATGACAAATACTTCTGTTTTAGATTTAAACTTAACTTAATTACTACTAAAAAAAATTAAAAAAAAAATTGTTTTTAAACAGATTAGGTGGTTTATTTGACAATTTATTTATTGAAATAACGCATATTCGTAATGTACGCAAAAAGTACATACCAGTTCAAAAAGAAAGGTTGAAATAGTTACATAAAAACGGAACAGAGATACAGTTAACAGCGCCTTCCCCTCCCTTCAGCTCCGGAGAGTTTCAAAGCCGACCGATTTTACATACATTTTGAAGCTTTGTGGAACGATTCCATTAAAGGGCAATATTTTTAAAATTTAGTACTTTAAAACTATAAAGTATATTCTTTCAAATAGCGCTAATTAGATGTCTTAAATATTATAAACAAAGGCGCTATGAATTAAATAAAAAAAGAGGCTAACTTTGTGCCAAATTATTTTAGGACAAACTTTTTTATTTAAATTTGTGAAAAAATTCAGGCTTTTTAAATGTGTAAAAATAATATTTTTACAGTCAATGGTTAAGAAGTTATTCTATTTGTTTATAAGCAAAATCGACATGTTTTTGCAAAATTATTTTGCAATATTTAAAATTAATTTTCTTAATTTTTTTTTAAGTAATTAATAAAAAAAGTCTTCTTCTACCAGAAACAACCCTTAGAATTACTAACACTGTATAAATTTCTGACTTATATTGTTGCAAAAAATGTTAATTTGGAATAAACAAATAAAATAACTTTTAAACTATTGTACCGATAACTTTGAAATTTTAATTCTATTTTAAGCACTGCAAGGCACATCATTCCATGAAATATAAATATTATAAGTTTATTTTCAATAAAGTTATTAAGATTTATAAAAACCAAAATTTTTGACATATTTTGCAACTTTCTAAGCAACAAATAAGGATGGAAACATTTAGAAAACGCTATTTTAAAGGTTTTTATATAACTTATAAGTTTCCTCTCTTCTAAAATTTGTTTAAATTGCTTCACTTTTTGCTGATAGACGAAAAAACCAAAATTTTTCGTTTTTTTGACCTTAATTTGTTAATAACTAATTAAGTCCAAAAAATCAACTGCAGGAAACATATAGGTTTTTGTTACACAGGTCTATACTACTCAAACAACTGTCGTCTGCCTGGCCGGACGAGTGTCATGAAAAAATGCTTATTTCCCTGGGCTATTATCCTAATTCCTAAAACTCATTGTCAGCATAGTTTTTGTTACATTTGTTTGCATTTTATTGGACAATAAGTTTTAATGATCGAGACATTTGTAAGATCTTTCACATATTTATTTTTATATAAGTTATAATAAAGGGTGAGTCAATACTATACTTACTTATGTTTATGCGTTTTTATTCATAACTCGAGTTCAACAAAAACTTTCAACATGCGGTTTGCGCCATTCTGTTACGAATTTAATTCAGTTCCATTATAATTTACAATAACTAGGTGTTTCGATTAAACAATTTGAAGAAAAATAAATTTTAATTTTTTCTATTCGAAAGTACCCTCTACCCATGACAATTAAAACTAAATGCAATTGTTTTATAGTAGATGTAAATTAAATCATCCACAGTCTTGCTAATGACACTAATTTCGTTAAAATCGGTTGATCTAAACAAAAGTTATAGGTATTTATCCACAAATACTTTCCCACTCTCCCCCATCCTTTATTTGAAAAAATAAAAAAGTACTTGAACAACTTTGTGCGAAATTTAGGCCCCTTTCTAGTTTAATTATTTAACACTTGTTATATTTGGGTATATTTCACAAAAAACTGGTTTTCAAATTTTTCTTCACAGGTTACGCCCCCTAGCGGTTAACCCAGAAACTTGAAATTTATTTCCAGCGATTTTACTAAGGAATTTTTTCTCCTAAACATATAACATGAATAGTTTCCTATATATAGCCAAGAGATCGGCTTATTGGACCACTCGGTACATATGTATTTTTCTACAAATATATCTTGTTTAGATGCATTTTGTTTGCTTTAAGTTTTTGCTGTAAGTGTTACAGTGAAAAATATCGTCGTTGAATAAAAAAGAAAAGGTTTAACTTAGTTTATTCCTAAAATATAAAATTAAATAATGAACATTACCTTTTATGTACCCTATGTACATAGACATCAGAAATCAAATACTTTGTCAAGTCCGTGGTTATCCTCAACATGTCCGTGTACTACACAAATATTTTTTTAAATTTATGGAAAAAATACTTTATATTTAGCTTCACTTCTAATATCTTTATGAAGTGGCTATATCTCAATCAATTTACAGAACAATAGAACAATCATTGAAAATTAAAAAAGGACAATAATGTACATATTAAAAAAAGGGCTAAAGATAGAAAGAAGTGTTTATCTCTAGCGAAAGAAGTTAAGCGATCTAAAGAAGGTAAGAAAGCTAAGTTTAAGGTGTCAAAAAGAACCCACAAGCTAGTCAGGTCATTATATATTTTCTGAAGGAAGAAAATGCTAACATAATCACTTTTTTTTCTTCCTGTAGTCCTAGTAATAATAAAATAAAAATCTTTATAAGCTTAAGACATAGATTATTTCAACTTTTAATTTTTTTATTATATTCTTATAAAATTAATTTATACGTATGGCTAAAGTGATATTTTCGCTCATTTGAATAAAATACACTTCTGTGGTTTGGTTGGAAGTTATTTTTATTATTTTAACAGTCTCTAAACATTTCTTTCGTTATTAAATTAATTATTTTCGTTATCAATTATGAGTCTCGCACAGCGCCATAAATTAAAAGATGCAATCAGAGCAGTTTCTCCATTTCGTTCCGTGCATCTTTCATCAACTTTGTCAGCAGTACTTTTGTTACCCGTTAATAACATAACAATCTCTCTAAGAGCATGTTTATTAATATCGCCATTTTCATTAGTAACTCCAAGTTTCACATCGATACATAAACACATAGGACTCAAGGTTACAATATCAGCATCTGGAGCTACTACTAATTTTCTAATATCATTTGGTCCACCATATTCAGCCCCACACCCTCTGAATGCAGTAGCCATTTCGTCTAGTGTATATTCTGCCTAAAAAAATAACACGATTTAATATTTTTTTACAAAACTTAACAAGTAAAATTACTGTTTATACAACTAGTGAAAAATATTACTAAAATTAGTATTAACTAAACCAATGGCAAAACAAAATAAGTGGATTTAATAGCTCCGGAGTCACTTTCGACATAAATATGTGTTTCAAGACAGAATAAAGGAGGAGAGTATATTGATTAGTTAGTTTCCTAACATTAGTGCAAACGTTTGCTGAAAGAACTGTTGAATGGAGAAAAAAGTCTTAGATATGAACGGTAAACATCGTAGCAGGAAAAAGGACAAAGAGTAAAAAATCGAAAAATATAATAAAAGTAGAATATAAAAGTCCTAAAAGTATATTGATAAAAATATAATATAAAATCAAATAAAATATTCTTATTGCATATCTCAGCAAATATTTCTAACAAAGATAATATCAAGCAATAAAATTATAAACATAATACGCATAAGTATGACAGAAGATGACAAACAAGCAAAAAATAAAGAAGAGTTTTGTGAAGAGCTGCAAAAACCAATAAAAAAATTGGTTAACGAGTAACTATCTGTATACAGTATAGGAGGATTTTATTACCAAAATAAGATGGGAACTAACCTAAAATAACTTAAACATTTATTGAGAGTGTAGCATGAATGTTTACTTTAAATATTTAAATATATAAAAAGAATTTATTTGATATGTCTCTGGCTGAGCGGTAACAGTGATCTGAAGTTATTTACTTAAACGCCCCTGGCTGATACGTGACCAGCGACATTAAAAAAATGTGGATGAAGTGGCAGCGAAAGCTCAAAATTTGCTAGACCTAAGAACCTGGAGAAGATTCGATTTTGGCTGTAGCGCCACTGGAGAGAGAGATAGAATAAATTATTATTTATACAGAATAAATTGTTACGTGAAGGCGCTCGAAACGAATGAGGATCAAGGTAAACTAAAAATGAAACTTATACGTATATCAGTATTTAACAAGAAAGGTATAAACGAAATATTATAAAAATTATTGGATCACAACATCAACTGCAAGAAAGATCTGTGGTAAAACTAAAAACCTGAGAGAAACGAAACTAAAAAAGAAACATTGGACTTAACGCAGGATTAAAGAAGATCATCGAAAGAACTACCAGGCTACAGAGATATCCACAGTAAACTTAAAACTAGCATAAGATCGGACTTATAGATTATAAAACCCTACAAATATTATAGACCATCGAAAACAATAGAAACATAAGGGTATTACTATCAAAATAACTATAGAAAAACCAAAGATAGCTAAAATTAAAGACCAATATGGAAATATTGTGACACAAACTCAAATAATTAATAAAATACAAACATTCTACAAGATTCTTTACACATACACCATACACAATCCCAGAACAGATTATAAAACCATCCGAAAGGTCGATTCAGAAACTTTCCCAAAAAAATCTTCTTCGGAAATCAGACATACCTTACAAAAAAATGAAAAACAAAAATCCTCCTGCCTCATAAAAAATATATTTTATAATTGTTTGAGGTTTCGACTTCGAAAAACATTTTAAAATTTAAAATTAAGTTAGGAGGTTCTTTCCGAGGTTTAAAAACTTTTTAAATTTCTGAGAAAAAAGTTTTCCTTTTTATTTAAAATTAAGATAAGAAAGTATAATCAATTACGGCATAATCCCATATACATAAATATAATATTTATTTCAAAGTTGTTTACCTCAGCATGGAAAATATTAATATATTCAAAGCTTGCATTGGAAGAAAAAAAAGGTGTTTGAAAGGGAAACATTATTGGTGTATATCTGAGTCATTTCAGGTTCTTAGATGGCATAGTGTTATTTAGTACTCTTATCAAGGAACCAAAACAAATGAACAGTCGAATTAAATAGGTCCCAAAATAAACCTTGAATCAACACAGTAACTATACGTCTTCAAAACGAAATGGAAGATTTCTCAATAAAGAAGGGAGTAAGGCGCGGCTGTAAACTTTCTTCTGGGTTGTTTAACTTACATGTAGAACAAGCATTCGCAGAAGCAGTGGTAGAGTGTACTTAGAATATTAAAGTAAACGGCACATTTATTTACAACATTAGGTATTCCGATGACACAGTGATAGTGGCAGATAACATCGAAGATCGTCAATGTCTTTTAAATGATCTAACTCTCATAAGTGGCGTTTTGGATTTGAAAATAAATATTAAGGAGACAGAAACAATGATAATAGGTAGACAATTACCCAAATGCAAAGACATTATGTAGCTGAAGAAGAAATCGAGCAAGTCAAGCAGTTTTAATACTTGGGATGTCTATAAGAGCAAACTAGAACAAGCCAAAAATGATTTGTAAATTTCTGACTTATTTCAAGTTTCAATTCAACTTAAGATACAAGATGTTAATCTTTTACGTTTAGGCTGTTCTTTTATACGTAATAGAACCATGGACGTTAAAAGTCAGATCCATGAAACAAGTTGAAGGTTTTGAAATGTGATGCCTGCGCCAAATGCTTAGAATGGTATGGAAGTACAAAGTCAGAAATAAAGAACTGTAAAGAAAAGCGGGTCTCTTGGATAGAGAAGTTATTGTTTATGTAAAAAGTAAGAAGACTACATATATAGGGAATATATGATGGGGAGAACACTTTTACGAGAAGAACATATTACAGCTACACTTTTCAACAGCTAGTACTTCAAGCAAAAATGACGGGGTAAGAAAGGTCTACGACGTAAAAAGATGTCATGGCTGCGTAATATTCGTCAACGGACCGGACAACACAAATAGAAAAGACCTATGTCCAGCAGTGGACAATCATGGGCTGAAGAAGAAAAAGAAGAACTAGAAGAAGAAGAAGAAGAAGAAGAAGAAGAAGACCCTACAGCATAACATAATAATTTCAATACAAGAAACAAAACTAATGGCAATCTAGCTAGAGCATATTATACGATACAAATTGGCAATCTAAAATAAGAGACGGACCTGAACTATCTTGGAATAACTACCGTTAATAATAAATCTACTTTTTTTCTCAGAACTAAACACCAACATCTATAAAAAGGTGGTTAGATCAATATTGGGAGTACTGGGACCCTACTTGTCACAACACAAATGTTTTTGGAAATAGAAAAAAATATATTTTGCCAAGACATATATGCAAATTTGGCAGAGTAAACCAATGGTCCATAGATAGAGAAAGAGGAAATCATGAAACGAGAGAGAACAAAATACTAAAATTGTAAAAAGTGACTCCCCTACTGAAAGAGGAAGATCAAGAAAACATTCTGATGATCCAACATTCTATAAAACCGATGAATAATTTAAAAGATAAACATTCAAATATCACCATACAAAAAATGATAAAAAACGAAAAAAACATGTTTATTTAAATTTTTGACAAAAATAATTTCTGCTAGGTATTGATATTGTTAAGTAAGAAATTCTTGATATAAATACGGACTAAAAATTAATACACGAGATAATAAACTAACTTAAATGTGTATAACTTACAGCCGTTAGGGATAAAACAACAATAATTACAGCTAACACCTTCATCTTGAATCTTTGACTCAACTATTCAGCACACTTTTAATATTTATACATAATATTTAAATCGAACAAATAAATTGTCAATAATTTGTAATTACGAAATAATAGAGTTTTAATAAATAAAGTATACTCACATTCGAAACGTAATTAATTATTAGCTGTAATACTAAGACTGTGATTTTCTATTTATTTCCATGAGACTGAAAATTAGTAAAAATAATTTTAAAATAATCGCTTTCAAACCAACTAATGTGTTTTGATAAATGGTAGAAAATAATTAAGCCCAAGTATCAAATATACCGAAAAACATTGTAATGATATATTTATATATATATATATATATATATATATATATATATATATATATATATATATATATATATATATATATATATATATATATATATATATTTATATATATATATATATATATATATATATTATTAATAATATAACATAGTAAATAAATAACTAATATTAAAATAAACTGTAACACTCAATTCTTTATACCAATTACTTAAATATAGGCAACTTTCATTACAAGGTTACCTCTACACTATAATTTGTCCATATGAGTGTGAACCAGTCACTATTTAATAGTATAGTAATAATATTAACATTGTAATTGATTCATAGAATGCTTTACAAATTACAGATCTAAGTGTCTGAAGCTTAGACTGTTGGAAATTATCCAATTGTTACTCACCTGTTGGCAAAATTTTTTCAGCCACACTGTTTAACATAAATTTAAATATAAGAGTTTGAATGAAATTCTCCTGTTTGTTTGTTTTTAGACGGGCTACTGCGAGTGATTGTTATTGCTATATCAGTTTCTTTCATTGGATTGTCTCTTACAAGCGGGCTGTCATCCAAAGCTCATTAACTTGTAACGATGAGTCCAAGCCATCACCGTTAAACCAGCGTGCGCGCGAACCAACCCATGAAGTAGGAGTGTATCGACAGTAGAAAGGGCAAAACTTTGCTATATAAACCGTATTATTTCCTCATAGAGGCAGAATCGTCAGGTGTTGACTGAAGGTTCTCTTCTCCCCTACCCCGGCTTGTGGACGTGTTGAGTTCACAAGTTGTTCCATACCGCCGTTATCCGGAGAGCGTGTTGAGCTCTCCATTACCCGTACTCCGAAGCAGTCGTGTTGAGACTGTCGAGGAATGTCCTATTAACCCGAATCACTTAAGGGACGTGTTGAGTTCCTTTCTTTTCTTTGTACCTATCGTCCGCTGTTATTAAATCGACACATCGTTCACGTAAAATTCCGAAAACACACTCGATTGCCGATAAAACTTCATACGACAAGGTCAAACTTAATTTGGATAAATAGGCCAGGTACTGAGAAGACTAAACTAAATTGTAAATATGTACATAAGATTTTTGTCAATTTAATTTAAGGAAGACAATAAAGTTTTATTTTTATTTTGAACTCTGTCTCTGACTGTCCAAAAGCTACCCGGATAGTGACTCCTACGAGAGGACGTCACAAATGGCGCCCGAGCAGAAAAATTCGTTTTAAACAATAATGCCGACCGAATTCCGAATTTTATTTTCATGAGACAGTACTACATCTCAAATTTTGTTCAAATACAGGGTGATTCACAGTTCAAAAATGACAGACGCTCCGGAAACGTCGAAGGTTAGTTGGGTGTACCTATTAAAGAAAGACGAACTTATAGCCGAATTCACAAACAGAGAACAGTCGACGGAAGGGAATTTCAGCGAGCTAAGAGCGAGATTAGTTGCGATCATCAAGGCACCAACTCAAAAAGGCCAAAACCCAGAGGAAATAGAAGAAAACCAGATGGAAGACAGACAAAGAAAGATGGAAATAGTACGCAAATGGGGGTTACACTTTGACGGTTCAAGAGACCCAATAGAATTCATAGAACGGTTGAAAGAACTCCAGACAGCTTACGGCCTACAAGACACCCACGTTTTACAAGCTCTACCAGAAACATTAAACGGGAAAGCATTACTATGGTACAGAAACAATAATAAATATTGGAACGAATTAAAAGACTTCGAACAAGATTTCCGCAATTTCTTCGTTTCCTCCGTTCTCACACAATCTCTGGAAGCTCAAATCCGGAACCGACTCCAACGAAACAACGAAGATGTAAAAGACTACATCATTGATATTCAAACAATGATCAGAAGACATGGTGAATTCAATCACCAAGAAGAACTAAACAGGATATACACCAATATGAACCCGAAATACAAGTTGTATATAAAGAGGCAAGACGTATCGTCAACACAGGACATCATCAGACTAGCGGAAGAATATGATATGGTCCAAAAAGAAATATATAACAGAAACAATACAAGGTGTGACTGGACACAGGCAAATAGTCGTAATAACAAAATACAGAATTTCGACAGACAGACTTGTTGTTGGAAATGCGGCCGCAGAGGCCACAATAGAAGAAACTGCAGAGCTATCGCTGTACTCTTCTGCAGCCACTGCGGAACCCGAGGAACAACTTCCAATAACTGCCAATGTAGAAGCCGACCGGAAAACTCCAACAGGACTGGACAAGAAGGAGGCAACCCAGTCAGCATTTAGAGTCCTCCCTAACAACCTCCAGCTACGCACACTATACAGATCAACGACCCCACACAACGATAACGTTCAGCAACGGTAAAAAGTTAAAAGCACTAATAGACACAGGAGCCCAAAATTCGTTTATAGGACAAAAAGGAAAAAAAATATTGGAACAATGTGGAACAAAAAGCGACAGAAAAGCTTTAAAGATCACGCTGGCAGATGGAAAAACCAGCAACATAGAAATCTGTTTTACAGCAAAATGTTCCACAGACAACGTTTGGAGAAAAGCCAAGCTACATTTTTTACCAAACCTAGCTTCAGAAGTAGTACTGGGAATGCATGAAATAACAAGATGGGGCCTTGATTTATCAAACATCTTAAATAGAAATCGCGTAAGAAGGAGAGAACAATACCAAACCAGGACAGAACACAGATCCAGATCGTACAAGGCAGATAATAACCGAATACCGACCAATTCCAGGGTCAACGAAACACCAACCGCAAGATATCCGCTCCAACAGAGAAGCAAGATATATAACAAAACGACCTACCGACTACCGACCGATACCGCGGTCGAAGACCAGACCGAAAATATACCGACTACCGGCCGATACCGCGGTCGACAACCAGACTGAAGATATACCGAACTACCGACCGATACCGCGGCCGACGACCAGACCGAAGACATTCCGTCATACATACCGGAATTCACGAACAGTCCGAAACGAGAGCAGCTCGACATTAGTACTACACTAAACAATACCGAAAAAAAACAATTACAGGAATTGTTACTAACCGAATTGGAGAAATTTAAACACATTAAAGGAACAACACATCTAACCGAACATACAATAAAACTTAAACATAATACACCGATCAAACAAAGATACAGGCCCCGAAACCCGGCAATGCAGAAGATCATAAACGATGAGATAGATAAGATGCTAGAAGAGAACGTGATAGAAAAATCTAATAGCCCGTACAGTTCCCCCATCGTTCTAGTAAAAAAGAAGGATAACAACGGATACAGATTTTGCATCGATTTTAGGAAAATCAACGACATCTCAGAAAAAGATGCCTACCCATTACCGTACATCAATCATATCCTAGAAAAGTTAAAATCTGCAAAATATTTTACCACGTTGGATCTAAAAAATGGATATTGGCAAGTACCACTTTCCGAAGCAAGCAAACCCTTAACCGCTTTCATAGCACCAGGAAAAGGACTATTCCAGTTCAAAGTACTTCCATTCGGATTACACGCCGCCTCCGCTACTTTTCAACGATTACTAGATACAATAATCGGCCCAGAAATGGAACCACATGCATTCGCCTATTTAGACGACATAATAGTACTGGGGAAAACGTTCGAGGAATATATGGAAAACTTAAAAGAAGTACTTCACAGACTACAGCAGGCCAAACTACGAATTAATATAGACAAATGTAAATTCTGCAAAGAAGAGATAAATTATTTAGGCCATGTAGTAAACAAAACGGGAATAAAAGTGGACGAAAACAAGACAAAAGCTATAGTCGAATATCCCGCGCCAAAAACCGTTAAACAACTACGCCGATTTTTGGGCATCATCTCATGGTATAGGAGATTTATAAAAGATTTTTCACGAACTACAGCTCCTTTAACAAAGCTACTAAAGAAAAAACAACATTGGACTTGGGACAGAGACCAAGAGGAAGCATTCAACAAAATAAAATTACTACTGACACAAGCTCCAATACTGATCTGCCCGGACTTCCAGAAAAGATTTTTTTTACAATCGGACGCTTCGAACCACGGTTTAGGAGTAGCTTTAGTACAAACAAACGACGAAGGACAGGAACAAGTCATCGCTTACGCAAGTCGAAACCTAACAAAGGCCGAAAAAAATTACAGCGTGACAGAAAAAGAACTACTAGCGATCATCTTCGGTGTAGAAAAGATGAAACCCTACATCGAAGGATACCCATTTTCAATTATCACAGATCATCAAAGTCTACGATACTTACAAACAATGGAAAACCCTACAGGTAGAATAGCTAGATGCGCAATGCTGCTGCAACAATTTGACTTCGATGTCATTTACAGAAAGGGCTCCCAGAACGTCCTGGCCGACGCGCTCTCTAGAGAACCAGTAGTTCTGGTTTGCTTAATAAACGTAGAAGATGTAGAACCCGACGAATGGTACAATAAAGCTTTAAATAAAATCCAGACAAATCCGCAACTATTTCCAGACTACTCTATCAAAGATGGACTTCTCTATCGACACTTCTGGGACAAATACGATTTAAAAGAGACAGAGGTATCCAACCCCTGGAAACTATGCATCCCAAACCACAAGAGACAACAACTCCTGGCAGAAAACCACGAGCAACCGACCGCAGGACATCTAGGAATAGCTAAAACAATAACCCGTCTAGCTAGAAAATACTACTGGCCAGGGATGT